CCCCTGCAGTCCCAGCTCAAGAGCTGGCTGCCCCTTATGGCCCACCTGGGGTCACGTGCCCGTCCTGAACCAGTCATGGTGGCCAGGGGTGGTGCTCCCTGGGTGGCCAGGCCTGGGTCTCTGGGCCTCTCCAGGAAGCTGGGGAACTGGGAGTAGGGGAGGGAGGCTCAGGAATCCGTGGGACGTACCCTGAAGAGCAGATGTCCACCCTGCTGACCCACCCCTGCCACGGCCCCTACCTCCGCACACCACGCCTAAGCCCCTCTCTCCAGACGGACACCTGACACGCACCCAGGAGCTAGGTGCAGCCACTCTCCTCCTGGGGTGATGTCAGGACAAAAGTGCTTGCTTTAAAGCAAAATTACTTACCTAATTAGGCGCTTGGGAGCTGGCAGGAGGTAGTGGGGGGTTTTGTTGATTTTTTTTTAGACTTTTAGCACTGAAGCTGCGCGATAAAGTAACTGTGTAATTAGGGATTAATTTCGCACTCCCGCAAGTGATGTCTTACTTGGGGCCTGAGGGAAGTCAGCCGGGTGGTTATTCACCTACAGAGCCGCCCTCTTCACCTTCCTTTTTGGGGGGGGTGCTCCCTCAGCTCTCATCCAGGGGTGGGGAGGGGGAAGGGGCTAGTAGGCGGCTTCTTCCATCACAGGTGTTGTTCATGCTCCACAGGTTCCCCGATGCCTGCCGACTGTGCGGCGGGGCTGGAGCGGGGCTGTGCTGAGGAGGAGTGAGGTGCTCAGCCGCAGCCCCCGCCCCCCTCACTGGTCGAGTTCTGAGCCACACAGTCTGTCAGGATCCCTGCTGGGATGGCGCCCCGTGGCCCACAGTGGTAACCTGCTCATGAGCAGCCCCCCTTATTGGCCTTTCTTTGCCCTTCCGTCTCTGTGCCTCCTGGGATCACCTCCCAGATAAACTGCTGCTCCCAAGGCCTTGGCTCAGTTTGCTTTGGGGGAACCCAAACTAGACTAGTGGTGTGAGCAGAGTGTGGAAGGAGCCAGAGCAGAGAGCAGTGAATTCAGCTTGCGGTGCAGGGATGGGGTGAGCAGGGCTTTATGGAGGAGGGGATCTTGAAGGATGAGAGCGGGGAGACGGCACGGGACAGAGGAAAGGGGCAGAGAATCACATGTTTGGTGAGCTTGGTGAGCCTAGCCCGGCACCTGAGCTGCAGGGAGTGAGAGCAGGGGGTGGGGGAGGGGGCCGCGGCCAGACTGGAGGGCCTGAAGGGCTGTGGTCACGGGTGTGGACTTTGTTCTGAGGGCAATGGGGAGCCACTGAGGGCTTAAGTCCAGGAGTGGCACAGCTAGATTGGAGTTCTAGGAGGTTTTGACTAACCGAGGATGGGCTGGGTGGGGAGGAAGCAGGTGGCTACTGCTGCTGTCAGGAGAGGGACGGAAACTAGACTAGGGCAGGGTGGTGGAGCTGTCGGCCAACTGTCCCACGTTGGGCTTGCAGATGCAGAGTCACCGTCAGACAGCACGTTTTCCAGGGCAGAGACAGCCCCACAGTTCCCACCTCCTGCTGCTTCTCTGACCATCTCTCCCCATCCTTGTCCAGTGTTCACCTTTCTATCCTCTTCCCATCAGGGAAGAATGGGCACTACTGGGTTCTTCACTGGGCACCTACTAGTTGCTCTTTATCACTGAAAACATTTATACCTGGTCTTGCTTCCCTCGATAGGTGATGCAGGTGCAGCAGAACATAGGTGCATGGGACCTGGGAGAAATGTTCTGGCAAATGAATTCCCTGGGAGAATCCACAGGGCCAAGTTCTTTCATGCTGCTTCAAACTCAGTGACTCATCAGATTTCCCCTTTTGACTTGACTGCCAGGAAGCTCAGAGCTAAACTCTTGACACTAATTCTCCAAGAAATTTCTCTTGGAAGATTTTCAGCAGGGACCCTGAGGGCTGCAACTGATGGATTCTAAGGGGAATTTTTTCAGTGAAGGGTCAGGTCAGAGGTGAAGGGAGGGAACTGGGCCACTGCAGCAGACCCAGAGTTCTGCCAGGTTGTGACTGCTTAGTCTCCCTCATGAGATGGGATCTGATAAGTGTTCAGACCCTAAAGCTTGCTCACTCTAGGTAATTGTGGGCCTCGGTGACTTTCAGGCATAACTCATGTCTCACTCAGGGGCCAGCCCTGCTGTTATTTTAGAGAAAAACATAAGGAAAGCGAACCCGATTTCTCACCAAGCAGCCTGAATATGCAGCACATCTGTAGGCATTTTCCGTTCTTGCCCCACGGCCTATCCTGGATCAGGGGCCCTGGTGGGTACCCTTCCCTTAATTAAGAACCAGTAGTCCCAGACTGTGGACTATGGGTTCCTTGAAGAGGGCATATGGGGATGGAGCCCATGTGACAGTGTGGGGCAGGGGAGTCAGGGACCAGGCGGGGTTGTCCCAAGGGCTCCCAGAGAGGCAAGCGCTGGTGTGGCTTGTGGCCATGGGTCTGCTCTGGTCCAGGAGAGCATGCATGGAGAGGGGGGAGGTGGGACCTAAGTAATGGAGGTGGGGCTCAAACAGGGTAACTTGAGTAAATAATGAGAACTCACACAAGAGGCCCTCAAAAACCATTTCTTTTCTCTATCTCCACATCCGTCTGTGAACGAGCTATTTATTTCTATTGTGAGACTTCATGGGGATGGAACAAATCCTGGGCTGGCACCTGCTGGAGCTCAGCAGATGTGCCCAGGGCTCCTGGAATATAGTACCTGGGTGGGTTCAGTCTGGCGTGAGCTAGGAACCCTCACCTCCAGCACATTCAGCAAAGCACAAACCGAGCTCGTTGGCAGGATGGAGAGAACCAGGCGGAAGGAAGAGGGTCTGTGTTTCGGGCTGCGGGGTGGTGCGGGGCGCAGGCGGAAGGGGCTGGCCGGAGCTGGGCCTGCCGTGGGGTGGCTCTCCTAGGCCTGGTGTGTGCGTGTGTGCGCGTGCGCCAGTGTGAGAGCCTGTTTGTGTGCCCGTGTGTGCCGCCCCCGCAGCGCCTCCTTCACACTCATCTCCCTGGCTGCCTGGAGAGCTCTTTCTACCAAATATGAAAATGACAGTTTGGCTCACCCACGCACGGAATCCTCATGCAGCTCCACTCCCTCGGCACCCCTTCTCAGATCACCCTCTGCCTGCAGCCACTGCCCCTGGGCGCGCCTCAGCCCTCACCCTCTGCCTGGCTGCTGCCCCTGACACCGCCACCCCTTCCCTCCCCCTCCTCTGATCCCCCTGGTCTCTGTCTCTGGTTCTAAGGTCTCTGTCACTTTTTTGGTCACACCCCTTCATCTGAATTAGGAGTGAGTGTGGATGAGAGTGTCCAAGGAGTGTGTATGTGTGTGTGCACCGATGGCGGAGTGCAGGCGTTTGTGTTGCGTGTGAGCGCGCATCTGCATGTGTGTATGAGAGAGAGAGTGAGCGAGCACGAGAGCCGGAGCCTGTGCCCCAGAAAGCTGGGGGATGGATGGAGGCATTTCAGGCAAACGAAGCTTTCACTCAATTACTCTTCAAGCAGCGGGAGGGGGTAGCGGCTTCACAACAATTGGACAGGTTTCCATGGTGTGTAGGAAAAGCCTTCATTTCCTGCTGACGATGGTGACAGGTGGAGCTGGCAGCAGTGCCAGAGTGCCAGGGTAGGGGGCCCAGGTCTGGTGATTGGGGCACCCGGGGTCAGGCTGGGGCTGCAGGCCTCTGGGACCTCTTTCAGTGGGGGGTAGGGGGGCAGGTAACAACTGAGCAGGAGGAATCTGGTGGACATGCAGGGAGCTGAGGGGATCCTGGAGACTACCCCATAGATCTGCATTCTGTGGAGATCTGAGAAGGCTTCCTGGAGGAGGCAAACTGTCTCCTAGGAATTGTAGGGCTGTTGACTGTGGAATGGGGCAGACCTATTTGGTGAGGTCCTGAGGATGAGAACTGGGTCAGCGATGAGGGCTCCAGCGTTGTCTTTGCTTTGAGTCTATCCTCTGCCTGGGTGCGTACTCCTGAGAGTAGGGGGCCCGGTCTGAGTCATTCTTGGACCCATAGCACCTGGACTAGCCTGGTTCATTGTAGACTCAGGGGTGGAGAAACTTCCAGGACTCCAAGAGCATCTGCACGGAATCTGAGCAAGGTTTCAAATGAGGGAGGGGCGTCCCCGGCCGGAGGGACAGTGGGAGAATGTCCTGAAAGGGGGAAGTTCCGTGAGCCCGCGAGGCTGGAGGGGGAAGCCTGGGCACCCTGCAGGGGGCTGGCTGGACGGGGTTTGTCCAGGAAAGAGTGGATTATTCCTGCAGGCAAAACACAGCATTCTTGCCACATCCCAGAGACGTGGCCTGTGATGCCTGGCCTCGCGTGGGCCCACGGTGGAGCTCGGAGGCCAAGAGACAGGGACAGACCTGAGGTGTCTCCTGGCTTGAGCCTCTACCCATTTGCTGGGTGACCTGGGACACGTGAGATCGCCTCTCTTACAGCCTCGTCTCATCATAAATCCAGGCATCTAACCCTGGGCTGGGGGCCCCTGCAGCCTTGGGGACATGAAGGGACTGGGAGTTCCACTCAGGCCTCTGCCCTCAGCGAGGGCCCCACAGACGCTGCTGCTGCTGTGACTGTGATGTCCAGTCGCCACCTGAGGTTAGCCTGGGACCTCTTGGCTCCTCAGTTCTCCCGTCTGAGGAATGGGGCGAATCCTTCCTGCTTCAGAGGCTGCCCTGGAAGCTGGGGCAGGAGCCGCCTGGCACAGTGCTGGGTGTGCAGTGGGGACCCGGCGTCTCTGCCTGTCCTTTCCTTTGCTCCCTGGCTGCATCTGCTGGGATCCTCGGGGCAGTCTGGGAGGTAGATGTCACCCGCCCAGCTTACAGAGGGGGAGACAGGCCCAAGGAGACAGCCCCAAGCCACAGGGCTGACGGGGCTTAATTGGGATTCTGACTCCTTTTCTCACTCATTGCTTCCAGGCTGGTGTGGACGTGGGTGGCCTGGCCCATGGCTCTGGCTGACCCTCCCGCTCCCCACCTCATTCTCCTCCGCTCTCTTTGCAGGATGGTCGAGTACTCCCTGGACCTTCAGAACATCAACCTGTCAGCCATCCGTACTGTGCGTGTCCTGAGGCCCCTCAAAGCCATCAACCGTGTGCCCAGTGAGTTGGTGCCCCCTGCCCTGACCCAGCCCTCCCAGTGCCCAGTGCTGGGCACGAGATCCTTCAGTGACTGGACAGATGTAGGCCCTGCTCCCAGGGGCTCTTGGGACAGTATCTGAAGATGCTGGGAGGTGGCCCTGATGCTTCTGGGTCCCCAAAGGACTCAGATTGCAGCAAGTTCTGGCTTTTCGGGGACAAGGCTCCTTGGCGGGGGGAAATGGGGCGCTGTCAAGGTGGCCTGTGTGTGAAAATAAGCTGCTTGGTTTGAGGGAGTACATTGTGCAGAATTTCACTGGGGGGGGGGGGGCTCCCGGACTCCTCCACTTGTGCTGACTGACTTAGAACTCGAGCTCCCAAACCCCTCATCACCCCCACCATAGGGCCACCCCCATAGGGCCATTCACCCTCCCCCACCCCGACCATCTGCCTGTCCATCCGTCCGTCCACCCACCCATCCGCCTGTCTACCCACCTCGTGTTGAGAGAGGTTATTGGATAACAAACCCTGACATCTGCCCAGACTCATGCAGCTTTCAAAGCTTTTCCTCCCTGTGATTGTTTTTGAGCCTTACAGTCCCCCTGGGAGGGAGGTGGGCTGTTCTCCTGAAAAACTGAGATGAAAAAACCGAGACTTGGAAACACAAGGTTACTTGCCCAAGAGGTCTCCTGACTCTTTCCACTGCCCTGGGTCAGGAATGGGATGGGATCCAGGGAAGGAGATGGGGGGCCCTGCTTGCATGGGCTTCAGCCCTGATGGGGAAGGACAGGAACTTTATGAGCATCTGCTCACCTCCTGTGTGCCAGGCACTTGACTTAATCCTGTCAACAATGCGCTTGAGGCTCAGAGAGGTTAAGTGGCTTGCAGAAAGTCACACAGCAGTTCTGGGGCAAGGCAGAGGGATCTGAGCAGAGCTAAGTCCGTTCTAAGCCCAGCTCTTTCCCTGGCTCCATCTGAACTCTTGCTTCTCCTCCCCCCCTGAGCCTGTTTCCCCATCTTTAGATGGGAGGGCTCCTTGCCCCTCTTCCTCCTCCACAGTCAGCACTGACTCCACTCCCCCCATACCCAGCTGTGGGTCCCTTGGGGGTGCCCTGCCACTCGTCCCACCCAGTCCACCTCTCTGCAGCCGTCTGCCATGAGTACCCTGAAGGCTGGCCTGACTCTGGGTTCACGGAGCCTGTCGGTCAGCCCAGGCAGGCCTGGTCGGGCAGTGGATGCAATGCTCTGGGATTTGTGGAGCAAGGTGACCTGGAGGGGCTGGCTGGCTTGCATTGGGCAAGGTACAGAGAGGCTCCTGGGGGGCTGGAGTCTCAAGGTCGCATGTACAAGGTCACCTCCCCACCGGTGAACCTTGACTGATGGGAAACTCCAGGGGTCCCTGAGAGCTGCTGTGAGGGTCCTGAGGGACAGGTTGAGAGGTGGGGGTGGGGGGTGAGCAGTGAGAACCAAAGCTGTGGGGGTGGGGGGAGGAGCAGTTCAGCTGTAGCACCTTTGCCCCTCCCACTGTCCTGGGAGACTCGCTCGGGGGCAGGGAAGGGACATCCAGAGAGGCCGTCCTAGGTGCCAGCTTCTCTATCCTTCCCTTATTCTAGAAGACACCTTAGAGATCACCTAGTTCAAAATCATCTTACCTCATTTAACAAATGAAAGTGAGGCCCAGAGAGGGCCATGACCAGTCCAAGGTCACACAGCAGGGACTAAACTGGAGCCCGTTCTAACCAGGACACTTTCCCCAGTGGCATGTGTTCCTCTCCCTCAGGCTCCACCTCCCTCTGCTGGGAAACTGGCCACAGTGGGCTTCGTTCCCTCAGCGCCCAGAACGATGCCAGGTGCATAGAAGGCACTCAATAAATAGGTGTGAAGTGGACCCACAGGGCAGGTGTTATGGAGCAGTCGTCCTGTGCCAGGGCCACAGTGCCGTCAGCGCTCAGACAGAGAGGCACTGGCATGTGGAGCACCCGGGGTGCAGGGCAGGGCAGAGTGGGGGACGCTGGGGGTCTGAGGTGATATCTGTGCAGAGACTCAGCAGGATATGGGGATTAACCAGGCAAGGGAGTGTTTTAGACATGCCAGGCAGTGGGGAGAAGAATGAGGGAGTGAGCTGGACATAGGACTGCTCTGGTAATGTGGATGAGTGATGGCCAGGCTGGGCAGGATGGAGAGGAGCAGGTGATCGGAGGCTCTGTTTTGGTCTTGGAGAGTCACGGAGGAAGCCCGCGTCTGGCCCGGGCAACCTCAGCAGGGAGGGCACAGGGCAGGGCCACATCTCTCTGGGTCCCCCACTCAGTGTTCCCATTTCTGTCCTGCAGGAAGCAGCCACCATATGGCCACTATCACTCTCCTGGCCATGCAGCCCACAGGCCCGGCCCCCTTTCTAGAGATGTGTGTGTATATGCCGGGGTCACACATGGTGTTTGTACATGATCCTGTGGTCTACACCTCCCTTCAGGTCTCTGGATCTGACAGGCATGAGAGTAGCCATGTGACAAGACATTTGAGAAGAGATGGTTTAGAAGAGGGGTGGACAGGGTAGACACACAGGGTCTCTGTGGGTAGGTTTCCATACATCTGTGTGTGTGTGTGTGTGTGTGCGCACACACACGCATGCCTGTGAGTGTGCAGGTCTCTGTATCCATGAGAGACCATGTATTGTATGTATATGTGTGTGCACACGTGGGGTTGTGTGCATGTGCGGTGTGTAAACATGGGGGTGTGTGCACATGTGGGGGGAGGTGGGCACCTGTGTCTCCTTCCCGGCCCCCCGCCTCCCTCTCTTGCTGGCTGCGAAGGGAGCTCATTAGGCGGCTCCTGGCTGTGGGGGTGACTCCAGGCCTCCAGTGCCAGTCTGTCCGGTTCTCTGGAGAAGACCCCAGGTTGGGCCCTGCGCTTCTGGAGGCTCCAATTTTGGAGGCTGGGTGGTCTGGAGAGCCCAGAGAGGAGTTTGGATCTTTCTTCAGGGTCCTCTTTCCTGCTAATAGGCTTCGCTGGGTGGCCCAGGGTGGCCCGAGGTGGGGAGTTCTGTTCCTGCTCTGAGCTGATTCCACCTCTCAGCGAACAAACGAGTCTCCAATTTTGCTTTCTCAGAATCTGACATGGGGAGTTGTTGGCGGCATGAACCCTCCAGGATCCCAGATATAACCAATGTGCCCCCCTGGAAAGGGACCTTAAGATAAATTCATATTCATGAGCAACTTAATTAACAGGAGCCTCAGGTCGTTGGAGCAGGTCCGCTGGTCCAGACCCTCATTTAAAGAATGGGATGCTGCTTTCCCGGGTGCTGCTTGTTCTGCCCAGAGTCACCGGGGAATGAGCGGCACTGGGAGCTGGGAGGGCAGGCACAGGCTTATAGAAGTGTCTCTTTGAGAGGTCTGCTTGGTTGCCTCCTTTTTTTCTAGATGTTTCCCTGAACATTCCAAGTCCTCTCATTTATCTTCAGAGCGGCTTCTGCCCTGGGACGCATTCTTTTCAACAATAGCCTGTAGCTTTCAGTTTGGCCACTAGATGGCAGGCTAGAGAACTGGACTGGGCAAAGTCAAATTATGGGTTATTAATTGCAAAGCTGTGGAGAGTGGGATGGCTGCCTACAGTTCAGAAAGTAGTGTAAAAACATGACCAACCAAGAAGACTCAGTCAGGCTGTCAGGGAGTGTAAGTTCTGCTTCTTAGCTCAGCTGGGAGCCTGCTGTGTGACCTGGGAAGCCTCTTGGTGTCTCTGGGCCTGTTTCCTTACTTCCACAAAGGAGAAGGAGGTACTGATTAGATGTATGATTCTCGACTTTGTCCAGGATGGACGGGGCGCCTTTACAGAGCCTCGTGAAATATGTCCCTCCACCCCGCTCCTTCAGGTCTGTCCTGACCACTCAACCGGTTATGGACAGAAGGCAGGAGATAGCATGGAGGAGAAGGTTGGGAGGGAGGGAAGAAGCATAGACTGTGAGTCAGGAGGCTGGGTTCTGGTTCCTCTCTCTATGACCTTTCATGAGTCCCTGTCTCTTTCTGGGCCTTGGCAAGATGGGGCTGGATTATCTTTGAAAGTGCTGCCTCTTGGCACCAGCGGACTCCTGGCCTCACCCAGCTTACACGCCCCTCAAGCAGCTGTAGTGCCTCCCAGAACCCACTGGCCAAGCCATTTAAACATGGAAAGTGCTTTTTATCTCCAGTAAGAAACTAGGGCAGTTACTCTAATGCCTGAGCCAGCTGAGTCTGAGCTGCTGGCCCACATCTGCACCTGGCCGCTGCACACCTGGCCCAGGCTCGGAAGGGAAGCCAGGGGAGCTCGGGGGCAGCTGCTGGGAATGCTGAGCCTCCCCTCGGCCACTGCCCACCTCCCAGAGCCCTGTCCCCTGACAACCCCTGAACCCCTGGTTCAGCATGGACCCACCTCAGTGCAAGGGCCTCTGGGCTGGGCCTGGGATGCGGTGGAGCGAGGTGGAGCCTGCCTCCGGTGGCAGGGCCCGTGGACAGGGAGGCAGAGCTAACAGTCCTGTGGGGAGGGCTACTGTTGGACTTCAGCTGCTGGACCAGGAACTGGAGATTTACTCTCTATTGAGAGGCCCATGGACTAGTCCCTTCACCTGCCCATCGTGAAACCCTGGGCCTCCATTTCTCTAATGACAAGATGAGCTTAATAATACCAGTTTCCATATAGTTTTGTAAGGATGAAATGCTTTGTGTGTAGAGAACTTGGCCCAGAGCCTTGTATGCAGTAAGTAGTCAATAGGTGCTACTATTATGAAGAAGGTGCTGGGAGCATTGAGGATAGAGGGTGGGGACATCAGGACCTCTTCAGAAGCAGCTGGGTTTGGAAGATGCTCACCACATGCACAGAGGGCTGGGGCGGGGGTGGTCCTGGCAGACGGAGTGGAATTGCTTGTGCAGAGGCGGAGAGGAGCCGCTGTCCTGGGAACAGTGGAGCTGGGCAGAGGACTGCATGTCAGGGGGAGGCAGGAGGTGAGTGTTCCACGTCTTTGAGGGATTTCCTAATGACAATAAACGGCTAAATTT